AGTGTTATTTAAAATGTGAGGATTACATGTCTCATTGCTCAGTAGAATTTTAGCCATCATGTAATCAGTTTTATGGGTTATGTAGTAGTAACTATTAACCAAGTAGTGTACCTCTTCTCTGAGAGTTTTTGGCTAGAGACTTTGTGTAGTAGATAAGTCTTGGATGCCACATATATGAGAAGAAGTGATTTTTTTCTATGTTTTGCATGAAACTTGTATTTTATGTAGTTTTTAGTTTTCTCAATAAACAACCAGATATTTTATACTTTCTGGCTGAATTTCTTTGGAGAACAAGATAAGGACATTGCATTCTTTAAATCTCTCTAATGCTGGTGTGTATTTTTGGCATGAACTGTGATTATAGCTGCACTCTGCATAACACATGGGAGGGGGCGGAAAGGTTTGGGGGAGGAGGAGGAGGAGGAGGCACACCTTTGTGGATCAGATGGGCTTCCTTGAAGCCCCATACACCATTCTAACAGGCTGGATTAAACTCACAGTCTGGAAGTTTCCCTTTCCGCTTTCACCTTGTCAAGTATAGATGTCACATAGCACCGGTGGCATTTATAGGCACGTTTCCACTTCCAGACTCAAAAAACAAGACGACCCACTATGCAAAGCCAGCCCCACATGCCTGAAATAATTCAGTCCAGAGGCTTGCCAGGTCATGCATTCAGACTATTCACGTGAAAACAGAATTCTTTTCCCTTGGAATTCTCCCTTCTCTTCCTCATTCCTCCCCTTTAATCAAAGGGAACGTTATCCCTTCAAAGGCAGTTGAAATAGCTTCACGCTGGAAAGCCAGTCTGGCATTTGAAACATTGCGGTGGGATAATGGTCTTTGAGGACAGGCTGTCAACTCAGCACTTGCATTAAACTGCTGTTTACCAAAACAATAAACACATGTGACCTAATGGAACACCATGTGGCATCTTGCCACATTAGAGATGGATGTTGGAGATGGCAGGAGAGGGAAACTGTCAGTGTGTGTTAGACTGGATCAAGAGGAACTGGGGGGGAAAAGATTCTGGCAATGCACAAAACCCCAGTAAAAATCCCAAATCTATCATAATTCTCAGTTGCATGTCACCTCTGAATCAAGGCTTTTTTACTACTGATTTCTCAAAAAGGAAACCACATTGTTTGTGACTATTTTTTGCGGACATTCAAAATAAGATGTGCTAGAAGATCCTTCTCTCTTCAGCCGCACTAGGGAGGACAGACCAACGTTTGTGGTCAGATGAGAAAGAGGAGACTCCTCTGTGTGTGTGTGTGTGTGTGTCACAAACACACAAATAAGTTTCCTCATCATTAAAAAAACAAAGATGTAAAACTCTGAATAAGTTGCATGAGTCCCACCTGGTGGTCATAATCAGGAATCCAAATATGAAAATATTCAGTGCAGAACAGAACAGCACCGAACAGATTGTTCTCACATGAAGAAGTGACCCCATGGGAAGCGATCTTGCAGAGCTGCAAAAGCAATCCATCTTCCATTTATTTTACCTCAAAATGCTCAAAAGCAATCTCTCTACAGGAGAAACAGCAGCGGTGAATAAAGTGCAT